TAATGACATCTTTCCTGGGGTGCCAGCATCGTGAGCCAAGACCAGCATTTGTTCCCCATCTTAAAATTGTTCAAGGAGGTGGTGAACTGCCTTCCTCATCTGGTGTGGTAAATCAACAGCGCTGTTGTACCTTTATTTCTCTTAAACACATACCATATTATTGGACAGTCATATATTCTCTCAGTACGAACTAAAGCTAATATTCTTGGCCCCACTATGAAATCTATTTTGTTATTATTGGTACCTTGTTTGACTCAGAGCTGTGCAACAAACTCCAAATTCTTTCAAGCATGAAGACAGCCTATCTTCATATCAAAGCCTGCTTCCACTTCTACCTAAATCCATTGCCAGTGAAACTTCTGCCACTTCCTAATCCAATAATTCCAGTGCTTCAATTATTGGCCTCCATAATCCTAGCACATCCTCAATGCACTGTCCATGACCTGGTTCTGCACTAAGTTCTGTTCAGGCATGACTTCTACCATCACAGGAGTTGGATAATTTATTGGAAACAGAGAACACATTCTCGCTTCAACTTTAAATGCTCGTGACCTCACTCTGTCCTGCTGCTAATATCATGTACAGAATTGCTGTCTTTCCTGTTCACTATCTTCTGACTCTGGCCTTTTGTGTCACATTGTACCTCCTCCTACCCAGTGCTTCACCACTGCTAGCATAGCTCCATCTAACTGGATCTTGTCTTTTTCACTCTAAGCCCCTAAATCTATAATTTCCCTCAATTAAAACTCATCTCAAATCTCATTTGCTACATTTCAAGATTTTTCTGACTATGCTTCTCAGAAAGGATTACAAAAAAGTTCCGATTTTTTCCTCTTAGAATGCAATGTGTATTTCAGGTTTTAAAAATCACAATGAAGGATTGTTAATCTGATGAATAGGAAGTAGTTTTCTCCAGGGATTAAACAATAGATGGTTTGTTAGTGAGTGTGCATTATCTCAAAAACTCTAATCTCTGTTTGCATGAGCAATAAGATAGAAGGAAATAATATTGCATCTGCTACAGAAGATGATGCTATGGTTGAAAAGGCCAGAAAAAAAAAAGCTTTTGATCAGAATTCTGAACAGTTAATCTAACAAGACAAGCTACTAAAGACAGCAGCATAATATTTTTATTATTTTTATGCCACTAAATGAAAATTATTTGCACTGACTAAACATTGCGAACTTGATCATAGCCACTGCTCCAGACATCCAAGTCACTGTGACATAAAACACTTCAAAAGATTCAAACCAAGGCAATGCACCAGTTATACCATGTGGTAGAATTCCACATTGCAATCATGCTCTGAGAAAAGAAGCTGTTCTTGAATGCCCTACTGAATTTATTGGCGCCAACCTCATATTTTAGTCCTAGTTATGGTCACCACTCTGCAAATGAAAATACCTTCTCTAGATTTGCCCAACAAACCTTTCATTATTTTAATGATCCCTCAATGTCACGCCACAAATCTTCTCTTTTCTACACCTTTCTACCTTGTTCAATATTTCATCATAGGTATAAAGTTTCAAGCTCTGGTATCTTCTCGGTAAATATCTTTTGTACCTTCTCCAGTACCTAGATGATAATTTTATAATATGGAGACCAAAACTGCTTATAATAATCTGTGCTCCAACCAAGTTTAATCTTGCTGTTTCTCAATTTTATCCCTTTAGAGAGCCATTTAGTTTTAAAATGGCATTATTAATCTACATTGCTGATGATACAAGTCTCTGGAACCCCAAATCCTTCTCGCTTAGATACTCGTTTTCCAAGTATTAAATGACCTCCTTAATCTTTCCCCTCCTTCCTTCTTTGTAAGGTAGTACACTGAATTTCCTTTGAAATTAAGTAGCCAGTCTGCATGTACATTGCACTTGTTTATCTTTCGGAAGAATTTGAAATGGTTAAGGTATGATCTTCCATTTTTGAAACCTTTGCTGACTACTTCTTATTACATTTTCAGTTTCTTGATGTTTTCTACTACATCTTTGAATAAAGATCAACCACCTTTCCTTCCATTTAGTGCAAGTGAAGTAGTCTATAATTTCTTAGACTTATTCTATGGATAATAGCATTGTTGCCATAGAATTCTGTTTTATACGAAGTTTGTCCCATATGAACTTAATAACACCTCATCTCATGGCAAATTATGGCATTGGTAAATATGTGAGCATTTCACACTTGTAATCCTAGACAATTAGAAAACTCTGATTCATAGAATTCATAGAATCCCTACAGTATGGAAACAGGCTATTCGACCCAACATGCTCACACTGACCCTCTGAAGAGCATCCCAACCAGATTCACCCCTATCTCTGTAATCCTGCGTTTCTCATGGCCAATAGACCTAGCCTACATTAGACACTATGGGTAATTTAGCATGGCCAATTCACCTAGCCTGCACATATTTGGACTGTGGGAGGAAACCCATGCAGACACGGAGAGAATGTGCAAACTCCAGACAGACAGTCACCCAAGGGTGGAATTGAACCCAGTTCTGTGGCACAGTGAGGCAGCAGTGCTAACCACTGAGCCACTGACACAGTATTTCTTTTTACATTTTTTATACTTAAATGTGCAATTAACACTCATCATGATCCAAGTATGGGGTAAAAGACCAAATGTAGAAACAATCAATAAAATTGCTGTGGTGATTAGAAATTCCAGTCAGAAATGCTGCTTCTACAGGGACAGATACGTAGCCTAGACCCATTTTAGAAACTGATGTAAACCCAAGTTTAAAAGCTACATACACAACAATGAACTAATCATTGCTACAAATTTTCAACTTGAGTTTTATCTCGAAAAGAGGTTTTGTTACAAGGTAAGCAGATTAGGTGTGCATACTTTTTACTGAAGTTTGTGCTTAACATTTTATATTGCTTCTAACACGATTTCTGAGTTAATTTCCCATAATTACTGTGTATGTTAACATGGTTAATACAATGATAAAATAACAGTGATTGGTAAATTTATGCCAGAATCTAAAAGCTTTGAACACTCAAATTCAAAAGAAAAGACTTTATTTTTGCCCTTTATTTGAACACAGCACATGTTCTAACACAGAACCAGCACAACCATGGATATCAACAAAGAGCCAAAATCATTAGTAAAGGTGAATGCACTAGACCACATTTTATGAGTGACCACATACAATGTGAAATCAAAACTAAGATCTAAACTTGAATCTACAGGACATATTCCTTATGTTACCATGATAAAAAACTGAAACGTTTACTGGAATTTCTGGCTCGTGCATTGTATAATGTAGTCAGCACACCACAGGAAAAACGGTATAATTGGAATGACGTGCAGTCTAGTTCAAATGCAACAAGCAAAAACGAGATCCAGTTAGGTTTTAACTAGATTTTGCTGAAGGTGCAGACATTGAAAAACAGATCTATACAATAATCTTTAGTGGAATTTATGAAAATGATATCCTTTATCTCTGTACTTGCAATACAAGTGCATCAGTTGCAAGCTGTGTCCTGACAGCTCAAGAACAATGCTGCAAATGCTTTACAATTCCAGTTCAAATTAAAATACTGTTCTTCTTTACCCACCAGACATCCAAAGTGGAGTTGAAAATGCAAACTGGAATCCAAATAAGCGCACAGCTTCCTGTATTATTGGGTGGTCAAATTAGCAGGACTAAATCTTTACGGACAGTGATTGCAAAGCAAGGCTTAAAAGAGTGCCTTGACCTACCAGGAATACTGGTCTTGTGAAATATCACTGCAAAGTCAAACAATAAGGAAAGTGACTGAGTGTATCCTCCACACATACTGCATCACACTATATAAAACAAACTGCATGCCCGAAACCCCAGAAAGCTAACAATTTTAGGTATAACTGCCCAATGAATGTGTGGTATTAAATGACAGAGGATGTTACTTTGATGCCAAGTGAACGTCACAGTTCTTCTCTCAATACTACAAGGGATTTTTGAAGCGCACAAACTCACAAGAGGCCTTCATCTCATGCCTGATTCAAGAGATAGGACATCTGACAATGAAGCATTCCCTCATGTTAGCCCAGATGTGTGTTCAAGTTCTGCAATTTCAACTTACAACTTTTTACCTTAGAGATAAGGGTATTATTAAGTTAAATTTAGCAAAGTAAAATATTACAAAGATACATGGAGTCATGTATAGAGAGGTTTAGCTTGTATACCCAAAAAACAGATACTGAGCAGGACACATGCAGGAAGGACAAATCCAGCGGGAGAAATAAGGCAGCTGCAATGAAACAAGGGGAAATGAGGGAAAGGCTTTTAAAAAAAAGTTCAAATGAAATAAGTGGAAGGCCCTCACATAAACATGAGGAAGACACGAGGGTGGGGGGGTTTGCGGTGGTGGTGGTGGGCAGTATGACGGGAGGGAAGGAGAGAGCAAGTGTGACGGGAGGGGAAGAAACCAAGAGAGAGAGAGACAGAGTGGGAGTGGGGGGCGGGGGGCGGGCGGGAGAGAGAGACAGAGAGAGAGAAGGAAAAGAGGGGGGATGGAGAAAGAGACAGATGGAGGGTTGAAAGAGAGAAGTGGGGGAACAGGGTCAGAGACAGGGTGGAAGGGGGGAGAGAGAAAAAGAGAGCGTGCGAGGGGTGGCGGGGGACAGACAGACGAGAGAAGAGGGAGAGGAAAAGGGGGGAGAGAGACCAACAGAGAAATGTGGGTGTGGGGGTGGTAGAAACTTTGGTTAGGGAAAAAAAGAAATCACCCAGTCATGAGGCATCGAATTGATTAAATATTTGACTTAAGAAACCTTTTGCTTTGGGTACAAATTGAAGCACGCACCAGTGATTTTTTTTTCCACTGTCTACCACCAGTGTCATTTACAGCACATTATTCTTTATTTGAAAACTTCTACTGGCTACGTTGAGTTTTGAAGTACAGAATGTGGAGACACGCTGAAGCCATATTTACACCAGACCCTTTTATTATTGGACATGCGACACAACAGAAAATGGGAGAAGCCAACAGAAAGCGGAGTTATCACTGACCTATTCCTATACTGGAATTGCCCTGAGTTTTATGTTGAGAAAGCTGCAAGCCTTGAGGTGTGTTGTTCCTGCTGTCATCCATGCATAAAG